GGGTAAGTGTTTAGCAGAAAACAGTCATGTGTTATCAGTGTTTTGTTATGTTTTATGCACAACATAGGTGTTTTTCTTGACAAATTCTAGAGACTGCAGGTGATGTGGGGTGGGGGAGTCCAGACTTCAGTCTATCAAAGTATGTTCTAGAAACACACTGCTTTATGTCTTTCAATGAATTCACTGTTAAATTGAAGGCAAGCAAGTTTTACGCTTTTCTGTTATTGAATCAAGGGTGTTTGAAAGCTGGTATAAATATGAGAAAGAATTAGAAAAACAATTTGCATTGATATTCTGGAGTGTTACTTCCTTGTTTATCTCTTCATGAGCTGCTGATTTGTTTAGTTTCTAGACTGCACATTGCGAAGAAGCACCTGTAGTTTGTAAATCCGCAGCCGATCACGGTGGTGTAGTTTAGTGGTAGTTCTTTTGGATGCTGCTTTCCCAGGCTAGTACAAGTGTGATTTTTCTCATTTAATCATGATAGGAATGTGTGTCTCTTCATACTTAAATATGTTGCCATTATGTTATGTTTATTATCTAAAATCTAAATTAGTTGCGCATTTGCTCCATTTTAGGTGAATTGCTGTAATGATTTTTATGAAAAACATGTGCAGGGTTAATGCTCAAGCCACTTTTATTGTATCAGCTCAGTAATATTGCCTGTGGTGCAGTTTATTACTGCCTAGGTCAGTAGTAAAAGCCTGGCCAGAGTTGTTTGGAGGATCAGCAGTTGTTTCCTTCCTCGTTTAGGCGCTCTGGGGAGGCAGTAACACTTGTCACAAGCAATGATTGGAGGTTTGCGTCTGAACTGGCTGACATTCTGGAAAGAGCAAACCAAGTAAGCATACGTTACTGGGTAAGATTTATATTGGTCTGGGTTAGCACCTGAAGCATGTCGTGGAGGTCTAAGACTCTTTAGACCCTTCTTGGTGAGTGTTTGTGGTGTCTCAGGGAAAGAAAATGGGTATTTTAGTCTGTCTTTTCCTAGCTAGGCTTAGCTGTATTTTACTTTACAGATGAGTCCCAGGAAGGAACTGTGAACTTTAACCAAAGCCTTCTATGTCTAAAGAAAAAGTAACTAACATACACATTGAGGTCTGCAGAGAAATAATAGGGTTTATTTTATTTCATAAAATTTTATTCCATTTGTATTTTACTTTTGGATGCATGCAGCAATTTCTTGTTTAACGGTCTAAATATTAACAATACTCGTATCAGAAGAAGCTCAACTATCTTATCTGTTTATTGTATCTGACAGTTGTGACGCCTGCACGTACTTTTCCAAGCTTTATTACTGATGCTTGTAAATAGTATGTGAAATGGAACTGGAATGTGATCTCTTTCTTTAAAGAAGCATATTTTTTCTTGGTACCGTATCTGAGAAAACAGATAATTGTGTTACTGTTTTTTGCTGTAACAAAGAACAACATTTTGCCTGATTTATAGTAAACCCCCAGTTCAAGTCCTCACTTGAGCTGAAGTTTTGTTTGTTTGGGTTACAGTGTTTGTTTGTTTGGGTTTTTGGATGGGAGTTTGAGTACATACTAAATGGATTTTATCTAGAATCTGTGGTTTTTACTATAGACACTTACTCAGACTTTAAACCCTGGGTTAGAACTTCGCATCAATCTTCTGTTTTATAGCTCTTCTTTGAATGATACCATGTTGCTTTATTGCAAGCCTAGTAAGATGCTTTTGAGAAAAAAAAGGATGTAGAAGAATAGTCACCTAATAATTCCTTAAAGTTGCGGATTTGAGGGTTTTGGTTGGGGTGGGGGTTTTTTGCTTTGTTTTTATTCAGAAAATGCAAGAGGTGAAATCAGTAATGATACTGTGAAGCTACTTTAGAGGTGCCTTGAGTTTTTTATTCTGAGTTAATAATTACCTTTCAAGTCTTGTCTCCAGCTGCAGGCTGCAAAGTTCCCAAACTGGTTGTGGTTTTTGTAATGTGTGATAGTTCAACTGGGAGCAAGTCTGCGTTCAGAGGAGAAAAGAGGAACTCTGAATCCTTGCTTTCAGAAGTTACTGTTAGTCATAACATTATTCTCAAACTTAGTTATGTCTGATAGAAAGGAAGTATCCCTATAGACAAAGTGTTGGGGTTTTTTCTCATGACAAATGGAAATACCATTGTTTCAGTCTTAAAGCATTATGTAAAAGTAGGAGAGAACTGAAGGCTCAGAATACTTTGATTTCGAAACAAGTTAGTTGCTTTTGTTAGCAAAATGTTCTCTGTGATTTTGAATCTACAGATATATGAAGAAAAACAAGTACAACAAAAAGGTGTCTATTTCATGCTGAAGGAGTCTTTTACATATAAATGCTTATTAACAAGCATGGACAGATTTAATGGGGAAACAGTAATCTCTGTGATACCAAGAAAAGCATTCCATGTTAATTATGGCATCTTTATCCTTTTCTCACTTGAATGAGCCTCACCTAGCTTATATGTTTAGCAGATAGACAGATTTTTCATAAAAATTTCAACAAGCCACTAGATGCTGGATATTACCTCACTGAGATTTTTATGTTTCTGTATCCTCACTTCTTCCTGCTCTTGACTTGTGCTTGCTCAAAAACCACTCTTGCAGGAAATTGTTGTGATTTTAGTTTGGAATAAATTATCCTTCAAGCTCTAGGGGATACTGAGGAAGAAAATCATCCCATGTTTCAACTGAAAAATAACTTTGTCTCATTACTTCTATCTCCATTGATAAGCCTGTTGTGCCTTTCAGCTAGAGATACATTAACTTTATTTTTAAATAATGTTTGAAACTTAGGCAGAATGGACTCTTCCAGAGTTGTCATATTTTGCCAGGATAGTTGCTTACCAGTAAGAGCAATTCAGCATATAAAACATATTCTAGTGAGCTGGCCCTCATGCCAGCTCAAGAAAAAGTTGCTGATAGCAAATAGCAAGCATTGCTCAATTATAAAGTCTGACAAAAGAAATGGAAACTAGAGGAATATAACTTCCTGCTCCACCAGACCTTTTGTCCTGGCTGAGTTCTCCACCTGTTCAAGCATTGCCAAGCCCAAGCACATTTAGGGAGACTTTAAGATATTTACATTTGTTTGTACTCTGCTGCTTGCACTGTATTTATGCCACTGGCAGACACAAATGACACAGACAGAGCAATCACATTAATAGCACATTCACCCAGTGCCCTTTGCTCTGAGCAGGAAACTGATTCTGGAGGGGTGACTTCCACTGACAGCCACGTGCCACTGCAGATTGCTGAAGTGGGCTGGCTTTGACAGATCAGTGATCCAAGACCTCTTGACAGTACAGTTGCACACTGTGCTTTTTGCAGTAAACATTGCATTAATGTCAGCATGTTTCCCAACCTGGTTTAAGAAGTCTTGTTGGATACTGCCTTTGTTCTGAGCAAAAGAATGGTATCTGGGTTTTTTTTTTTCCATCACTGTCACTCAACTAATAAATCTGTCTGTAATTCTTCACATCTGGCTTCAGTTGTTAAGAATTCTGAGGTGAGAGTGTTTTGATGATACTATTCACCTTTTCCACATAATTACAAACATGCCAAAAATTCCTGTGGATCTTGGTAAGGTGCTCTTACAACGTCCCAATGGTGGGAGATCTGACCATTTTCTCCTGCCCCTCTTTCCTTGTCTTTTTGCTTTGTTCTAAGCATGTGAGAACCATTCCTATGACAACACTTTCTTTAAGTCACAAAGTTTCTCTTCAGAGGTTCTTAAAACTTCCATAAGGAATTTAATACAAATCAACATTCAGTAGATGTATATAGTATGATATCACCTTTAAGTGGCACTGGATGTTTTTACCAGCTGCTACTGATAACTAAAAGATACATTTCTGTTTGAACTATAATGTTGTAATTAGCTGGTTATATGTTGCCATCAGATATGGTGATACAAGCATAGATATATTATTGAAAATCCAGAGACACTATGATGATTATTTTTCAGTGTATTTCAGTGCAATCTTACGTAAAAAGATTTCTCTCTGCATTTTTACAGAAAATAATCTGCAAAGTGATAGGAGCCAGATAAATAATGAAATCAAGTTTGGGAGCTGTTTGCAATAGCATTTTCATAAAGCAGTCTTAACGTTTAGATTTATTTAAAATTCACCTTAGTTTTTTGCCTGCTTTCTTAATAGGTAGTTCCTGATGAGCTTATTGCAATGGCAGAAAGATACAAACAATCACAAATGAGAAAAGAAAATGAAAAGGATATACAAAGACCTTGGAGAAAGCCCTCAAAATAAGTGTAGTCCCTTGAAGCTACTGAAACAGAGAAAGTGATTTTAATTAGTGTTAGCTTCCATGAGCTTGAATTTATTAGTTTCATTTTGTGTTTGGTTGTTTTCTCTACCTGTCCTATTTAAACAAACTTCTCAAAAGCGTCTTAGAAAACTGGAGTATCTTTATATGGGAGTAAATCTGGTTTTGCACTTGGACATTATTTTCACATAATTTTTTCTTGTGTGATGTATGAAACTTCTAAAGCCATTGTCTACTGGTTAAAAACAGATATTGTGGCTTTGTTAGTTGGTTTGGGGTTTTTTTAGTTATATGCAGTATTGCTATATAAGAATGTAAAAGATAATTTTTCCTTTTATATTCAGAGAACCAGATTATTCATTGTAAACAATGTTTGTCAATGTAGTTTCAAAATGCTGTACCTCTGCCTTGATATGTTGCTGGCATGCAGGATTTCTCAGGATAATGAAAACTGCTCTGTTTGCTGTTCCTTATGTTTGCTAAAGCAAGTTTTCTTTGTTCTTATTTTAAAACTTAACATTGGTAGTAATTTTTGTTAAGACTTGTGTCTCAAGATTTTTTGAGAGGTCTGCATTTTCCTATAATGGAGGAGAATATGACAGGAAGTACTTTTTTGTGGCTAACTGGAGAAGAAAACCCACTTTTGGTTTTTGTGGATGTAATATTCTTGCTTAAGGAATGAAACCAGAGTTTACTAGAGCAATGTTAACAAAGTCATGGAAAAAAGAATACATTTGAAGGTCAGATTTTATTTCTTCCAGATAAAATGGATTCACAATTTACATTTGGATGTCAGGTTCTGTCACACAGACTCCCAGTGATAATGGGGCATGTTGTTTTTTTTTACTCTTTGAAATTTATATGGGAAGGAGTCATTCCTGCATTTGATGCTTGCTCTGAACTTGTGTTAATTTATGTGTCATATGAATAAATAAAAACTAATAAACAAAATTCAGTAAAATGAGAATATTTTAGTAAAATTACTCTGTCTACCAATATTCTTTCTTCTTAATTTGCTCATAATTGAGGTAAATCTGAGCATTATTCAATCCAGTAGGTTATTTTGCCTTCAAAAAGTAGGCGAAAATACGGACTTCCCATGGCTTCTATAAGTGGAAGCAAAATATGTATTTATTTGCAGCACAGCAGTTCTCAAATGCTGTGTACTTCTCACCTGCATGATTTTAGTAATAGGAATTATTGTAATTTTTTTTTCCTAACACACACTTCTTCGATATGAGAAAAATTTATATGAATTTCAATTTCAGGAGTGTCCAGTTCATGCTGCATTTTGGTTTTAGAAACCTTTTATATCAAGAGTCTTCTTCTTTGATACAGGTTGAAAGATGCATTTCTTTCTACATGATTATCATACAAATAAAAGCACATTGGCAGAAAACCATTCGTCTGTTGCAGCATATTAGGTAATGATTGTTTCCCATCCAAAGCCCAATGAAAAGACTGATTTCTAAAGTAATTCTAAGACTCAGAAAGAATAAGTTACTTCAGCAACTTCATATTACTCAGGTAAAATATTCTCTCTGGTAACTATTGCTGGTGATTGTCTTCTGCACAAGATCTTCATATCCACCCAGGTAATCTGGAGAAGTTTGGAGAAGTTTTTCTGGTTAATGTTGAAGTAACTCCAGGGACTTTTTTTTTCTTTTGAAAGTAGGAGTGTATTTTTGATATTCTGCAGTGGATCCTAATTCTAAATAAAATTGTCAGTTTTTCCTTTATGCAGTCTTTGATGCTTTTGTGTTTAGAAACACAGAAATTACATATTGCAAATTCTTCTCTATGTTCTTAGTATACCTTGACGATGTTTTGCAGGTGACATCTACATTTGGATAGGCAAGGTAAATATTACTTAAAACATTTATTTTAAGGGTTATGGCTGAGCAGTGTGACTGAAGTATAGATTTTTCTCTTAGTGGTCTTAGTTTTATTTTGTTTTGGGATTTGTAGTACAGACTACTGAAGGTCATTTATATTGCAGAGTTTTTTGTTTCACATATGTAAAGTCAACATGATTAGATATCTGTTGTGAACCGTGTTCTTAATAATTCTCATGAAATACTGGGAATCCATTGTTCAATTCATAACTTATTTTTCTTGAAAGGAAATGATGTCTTGCCTTATCTTCTTGGCTGAGTAAGTTGTATTGGGGAATAAAAAAGTGAGTCAGCTGAGACTTTTGCAGGCAATCCACAAAAAATCCCAGACATTGCTGAAAGGAATGATCCAAGTTTCCCAAGTACCAGTCTGTGTCATTTGGCCACATGACACAGGAGTGGAGAAAAGCAGTTTTGACATGATAGGAACAGAATTTTTCCAATTCTTTTGGATATTTCCTTTTAAGTTGCTCTAGAAGAAACTTCAGCAGCTTAAGACAACCTTTCCTGTTAAAAAAAAATACATATATATTAGGTATCTTCTCCATAGTTCTAAATATGTAGATCAGATATTTAAACACAGTTATGCATTAATTCTCTTGTTGCTTTCTTGATTCAGTACAACACATAATTGGCAAACCAACTTCTTGGTTTACTTGTTAAGGAGGTTTTGTATCTCATGGTGGGTTTTGTTCTTTCTTGTTGAAGAAATCTGGAAAACAGTTCTCATGGAACTGAAAAATCATTTATTCGTCTTGCTTTCATTCAGCAGTGTTCTCACCATCATTTCAGAAATTGCCTTGATATGAAGAGAAATTTTGCTCATAAAGTGGAGTCAGTCACTTTTTAAAGCTTTTTTTTTTAAAACAGGACTGAATTTGGGAAAGATTATTGAACAAGGCACATCTTTTTGCATTCTAAAACAAGTCTGGAGTCTAAACCAGCAATGTGATTGTTTCCACCTTTCATTAGGTAAATGCAAGCCAGACATTCAGCAAGAACATGCAGTGTTGTATTGCTGTAGAACAATTATGCCTTAAAGACTCTTGCTTCCCATTATGAGTAATTACTGTTAGATCATATTCTGAAGTGCTAAACTGAAATAGTATTAGTGCTAGCTCAGCTCACACAGGCTTAAAGTAAAATATTCCTGTGAAATACCAACCTACAGCACTTTGGTCCATTGGATTCACAGCATGTCTTTGAGTTGCCATGGTTCTTGATCATATCCTTTTCAATATGTGAGAAGGAGAGTCGCCAGGTGTTCCCTGAAGTCAAGCACAAGACTGTTAAATAGTTACACAGCCCTAAGCATCAGCTTTCGTAGCTAGAAAAAAACCCCAGTTTTGTAATTGACTTAAATACCCACAATTTTTTTGCACCTACTTAAAAAAAACATAATTTGGTGAGTGCAGTTAGTTCCTCCTTAACTCTCCAGCTGCTTCACAAACACAATTGGAATGTAATTAATATAGGACATAATAGTTTGGATGCTTTAAATTCCTAAGAATGTTTGGATTTACTTTAAAATTAGGCTTAGTTCTGAATGTCCCTGGATTTGCTAAACATGATTTAGAGAACTGCATTATTCACAGAAATCTACAGCCTTTTAATTTCTGCTATTGTGTTTTCTTTGTGCACGTAATAGGTTTGTGAGCTTGTCTCATGTAAGATGACTGTTCTAAAGCATTTTTGTTCTTCTGCTCATGCTTCTGAAAATAATTGCTAGTATAGCTCAATGCCCTGTTTCTAATACCAACAATCACTTTTGTCTTCTTTTCATGAATTACAGTTTGCCTTGCTTGTTTGGCTCAGTTACTCTTTGCAATTAATTTGCACAGGAAGAAATTGCCAAATAAATCAGTACTTCTGTACTGGGCTTTGATAACATGGGCATGCTAATTAAAATGGTACCAGAATGCTTGAAATCTTACACTGAAAGGATCAGTTACCATAATGCACAAGTCAGAATGTTTCTGCAAACTAAAGGAGGCTCAATGGGACAGTGGTCTGGAGGAAAAAATGTTGTAGCCATACCAGAGTTCAGTGAGAAACAATGTATCTTGATAGAAAACAGTTTGCTTCCTGCAGAAGTATCTGATTTGTGGATGAGTCTCATGTATGGGGAAGTTCCCTGCATTTTTAGTAACTTTCTTCTCATCTTACAAGAGAGCGCAAGCTGCTGTTAAGCAGAGTACTAGCACAAGGGAAGGCTCATATCCATGTCTGGCTGGACTGGATTTAATATAATGCTCTTAGTAATGGTTAATGTGCAGCCTGGCAGAATGGGCTTGTATTTACATTTCAGTACAGGACAAGCAGTACCACAAATCTGCTGCTCTAAAGAGGGATTTCAGTTGTCTGAGCTGGAAATATCCAGGATGAGGTGTCTCAAAGATGGAATACTGAACATGATCTGGATACCCTTTCTATAGCACTTGTAAGTGATCAAGTTGTAGAAAAGACATTTCATAACTTATTATTGTCCATATTTGAGGTACCTCTTAGAACTTTTTCTCTTTTGTTTTGCTTGGCTACTAAATAAATTGGTGTTAATCTGAAATCCCTCCTCTTTTTTGTTCCCAGCCACTGTTCAATTTTGAGGCCATCCTGTGTGCTGGGGGGCCAGCTCTTCTGAGCCTTCAAAGTCAAGATGATGTCCACTGATATTTCTAATGGAGGTTTTTTGATCTGAAGAGTTATTGCAGGGCTTCCAGCCCTTTTCCTTGCCACAGTGACTTCCATACCTAGTAACAAAGAAAGTGATATTTCATGTTAGATGGACAGATAGCTAGATAGATTAGTAAGATGAAAACTGTTTTTAAGAATGTTACAGTTTTTACTAAAGAGCTCATAAGCAATCAAAAGAAATACCTGGGTTCAGTCAATGGTTCTTTATCCTACAGGATGTTGAAACATTGAGAAGGTCTACTGAAGAGTTCTATGAAACAGGGAACACTACTGTGTTTACTTGATTTACTGTCTAAGAATTAAAAATATAATAATGTTTTTCATTTAATTGCTTCCCTGTTGAAGACACACAGTGAGGAGATCTGGCCACAATATTTCTGAAGGTTTTGGGAAAAAATAACCCTAACTGCGGTTATTTTAATATAATTATATAAATATATATATATAGTATATTTAAAATAATTATAAAAATACTGGGATGCAGTTTCTGTACTGATCAATAAAAAATACTAGGTAGTGTATAAAAGAAAATACAGGTGCTGTATAAAAGAAAGCTCCTTGTTTTGCTACTTCAGCAAATGGGTCTTTGTGTACTCCAGATAGATACAAGATGTATAGGTTATGTGGGAAATAGCAAACATGCATCCCTTAATGTTTATTATTTTCATACAGAAAATATGCATAATGGAGTTAATAATGTAACAAGTTACCTATGTGTTTTTGTTAGCCAGCTTGAGATACTGGGGACAGGAGGGGTTACAGCTCCATTGGCACAAAGAGACTGGCAGGAAAATGCATGTTCTTAATACTGGGGCAACACATATGCACAATGTAACTGCATTGGTACCACTTCCTGATGAAGTTTGTTCTCTCAGTACTCACCTCTAATGTTTTTTACTTCCTGTTTAATAATGTCTCTTAGTGCTTGCATCATTTTAGAGGCTGATAATTTTCCATCTTCCTCTAAGAACTTCAACCAACCTCTTTCTATTGGACCCCTTTTGAATGATGCATAATAATAGGCTCCAGTATCATCAGACTCATCCAGCTGAAGCCTTGTAGAATCATTTGCATTCTGTTTTATAGGGATTACAAGCATGATGTCAAACTCATTTGGCTCAGATATCTGCAAATGTAAGAATAGAACAGACAATGTGCAACTATGGTTTTATTCTCCTGAAATTTTTATACCAGTTGTGGTTTCATCTACCTTGGTGTCTGATGTGAAATATGAGCTTATTTCTGTGGTATTGCAAGATTACTGTGCATTGGGGTGGAAAATAGCAATTTGCAGCTCACTTCCCAGCTCTCCAACTTATTAATTTTTAAGATAGTTTTAAGATTCTTAAGTGGTTCTGAATAATTAATGTATAAGTATGCTCAGACATCCTCTTGCACTTTGGATGTGAGGAAAAAAATGAACTGCTAGGTCTGAAGCTAGTTTTAGACAGAAAAAAGGTACTGGTTAATCACAGAAGGTGAAGGGGTTGGAATGGACCTTAGAGGTAGTACTGACTCATCCTGCCCTGGGCAGGGATACCTTCCACTAGATCAGGTTGCTCAAGACCTTACCCAACCTGGCCTTCAACACTGCCAGGTTTGGAGCATCCACAATCTCCTCAGACGCTCTGTACCACTGTCCCACCACCTTCACACAGTGAAAACATTCTTTCTAATATCTAATCTAAATTTTTCTTCTTTCAATTTGTATCCATAACTCCTGATTTTTGAAAAAACTATGAACTAAAACCTGGCCCAGGGCTTCTTGTGCAGTGCTATACCTGACGGATTGTGTTGCTATGCCGAGCTCACCTGCGTGCTGTGCGAGGGCAAGGCTTGCTGCAGCCTGAACCGTTCAGGTAGCGTCTCTGACTCAGTGCACGTAGCACCATTCAGCAGGTTACTGATCATTTTGTAATGCAGAGCTATCCTTAGCGATGCAGTTACATCCACAGAGCCTTACTCGGCGGGAGATGCCAGCTAGGAGCGGCCCTCCGCGGCCGGTCC